GTTGGTACGGAAGCCGGTCAAGTGAGGGTTCGGCTGAGATGTCCGCAGCCTCACAGGGTTCCACGGTTTGTGCATTGTTCGGTTGGAAGGTGCGCACCCGTGGCTCGGCATTAAGGCCTTTGGTTAACCGGCATGCCCTACTTCAAGTTCGACTTTGCTAGAATGCACCCGAGCTCGGCTTTTACGGAGCTCGGTTATTAGAGCACTCGGGTGTAAAGTGCGGCATGGCCGTAGGAAATCGACATGCTGCATCCCGGCTGCCAAGCTCCCAGTAGAGTGGGCTGGCAGTTGAGGTAGGTGATGTTCGGTTGGATTTGTGCCGACAGATGGGACAACAGCACTACGTGTCGAGAGACTAATGGGAGTAGATTTGGGGCGCAGAACGTATATAAGCATGTTTGCGCCCCCCATGCTGAGGCATATGAACATTGGGTAAGATTTACACAAAGCGCTTGATCCTCTCTCTCTCTCTCTATCCCTGTGTGTGTCTAACTTGACCGTCGGAGGGGTTTTCCGGCCACATACCGCCAGGTAGCTCACTGCCGTTGTGCTCGCAGGTCGATCGGACAAGCAGGAGTTTGGAAGAAAGGAGTACGGACTTGCCGGAATATTTGCTCCCCGTACACAATTAAAGACTTATTAACAGTAAGGGCTCCTTTTCAGTTTGCTTTCAAACTGAATGGTATTGTTTAAAGATGGTAATTTGAACTCGGTTCGATGAGGATTCGGCTCCTCGATTTTGATTAGAATGGTTTTTTATTTTTTTATCTTTTTCTTTTTTTGAAAAATACTCCCAATGGGTCGGCAATGGTATTCGAAAATGAATCCCCGACAATTTTTGGGCCGGGGATAGTAATACGTTCCCCAGCCTCGACCCCATCCCCATCCCCATTTCCCCAGAACTGAAATTACTATTATACCCCTACATACATATATATATATATATATAAATCAAACCCTAACACAAACACATTCACACAAGCCTCAGACCGTTTTCATTTTCTCTCTCTCTCTCTCTCTCTCTCTCTCCTCATCCTCTTTATTTCTCTTCTCCTCCCCTTCTTTTTATTCCATCACCTCTGCCTGCTACCTCGTTGATGGCGGCTTAGTCTCTGATGGCGACCTCCTTCTCCTCCTCATCTCTCTCTTCTATCGCCTTCGTCTATTGCCTTGACTTCGACAACGATGATCTCTTTCACCACCAACCGAACCTTCATCCCCAGAGCTGCTCAAGCGCAAGATCCAGATCCACCACCATCACCGGCCGTAAGATCTGAAATTTTGAAGATCTGATCTAAAGTTTCAACGATGATCTCTCTCTCTCTCTCTCTCTCTATGATCTGATCTGTGAGAATAACTCAATTTTTTTTTTTTTGGTAAAGGTTTGCATAACGACTTTTTTTGTTAAGGCTTTCTCAGATCTAATTTTTTTTGTTAGGGTTTTCTTAGGTCTGATAGATACACACACATATATATATATATATATATGTGTGTGTGTGTGTGTGTGCGCGTGTGCATGTGCATAACAATTTCAGATTTTTTTATTTTTTTAAGTTGTTGATGATTGTTATTGATGATAATGATGATGAAACACACTGAAAACAGATTAAGGCCAAGTTTGGCAACCCAAAAATAATCAATTTTTTAATCTTTTTATCTTTTTTTCATCACATCACCTCTCTACTTTTCTGTACATCTTTTCGTAAAAAGGCAAAAAGTGCACTTATTTAGGTCATCCCAAACAACCCCTTAGAATTTATTTGTTATTCTTGTGTTGAACAAAATTCAAAATTCAAAAAAAAAAACTCGGGGATATTTCGGGGTGGGGGAAACCCGATCCCCGTTAGGGGACGGGAACAAGAGGGTGATGGGCTCCCCTGGCAGGATCTGGGGCGGAGGCGGGATTTTTTAATCTTTGGGGATCGGGGACGGGGAGGGCAGTCCCGATATTAGGAACGGAGAGTGTAATCCTCGACCCTTGGCCCAACCCGTTGCCATTTCTAGTCTTGTTGGGTCATATTAGGCTTTGATCCGGACCTATTTTAATGATTCAAATTGTTTGATATGGGTGTTTTGGAAATGGTTATTTTTTAGGCTTTTTAGCTATTTGACTATTTTAGTAGGCTATTTTAATTTTTTATGTTTGGGAAATATGGGATGAATTTTTATTTGAGTTGTTGTATTGAAAAATGTGTTTGAAATGATGGTGTTATGTAAAATGACCAAAGTACCCATACCAAAAACAATAAAATAGAAAGGTAGCCAATAAAATGGCCTCACCCACGAGTTACCAAACACCACCAAATATGTAAAACTCATCGAGTATATCATCCCTGTAAAAAATCATATTGATCGGATATCTATAGTCATTTGATCAGATCACATTTCTGTCATAATTTATTTTAAAAATTATATTTGTCATTAATAGAAATGTGATATGATCAAGTAACTAACGATATTCGATCAAGGTAATTTTTTGTAGGGTTGGTATAATTGACGAGTTGCACATACTGAATAGTTTGTATTATTGAAATGAGCTTGGATTAAGGCCCACAACGACCCAAAAGTTTGTCCAATCTGATAATGAACTGAAAAATAAAGTGAACAATAAATCACATTTATGATAATTTTACATATATTTTCTAAAAATAAAGTGAACGATTAAAGTGAAAAAGATTAAAGTGAAAAGTGTTTAAATGCACGATTTCAGAAAATAATGTGATTAAAGTGAACGATTAAATTTGAAGTGAGCGATTAAAATAAAATAAATTATCACTTTATTTTCAGAACAATTAATCACATTTCGGAAAATAAGAAAATAAATTTTTTTGAAAAATATTTTTAAAAAATTCTAACTAAGCAAAGTGAATGTTTCCTTAAAAAGTTAGGATTCTTAAAAAGGGATTATTATTTTTTGAAAAATGTTTTAGAGCTTTAAAAGAAGAGCTCTAAAATAGCATTAATTTGTCTTCTTCCTCTTTTTATTTTGTCTTCTTCCTCTTTTCTTTTCTTCTTTGTTTTTTTTTTTGATTGGGTGTGCCAGCTCAGTAGAGCTGCTGTTAGAGCAGCTCTACTAGAGCTCTCTAGCAAAGTCATTATTTTTTTAGATGTTGGGAGAATAATTCTTAAAAACACTTTAGATAATTTTTTTTAAATTCATAATAAAACATTATTATTAAAATTTAAAAATTAAACTTATTTTTTAAATTTAATAATATAATTACTAGTTTATAAAGTACGTCTAAAAAAACAAATTTATATATTATTTTCATTTCTATTATAATATACATGGCGGTGCTGCAAGTTGACCGTTGTTTGTTTTGCTGCATAACTGTGTTTGCGTGACATGTTTGATAACTTCTTTGGCACAGATTGACAATTTTAACATTGAAAAATAAGATTAAAGTATCTTTGATTTGACCAGCGTGAGTCCACATACACAGAATGTGAACGAGGTCTCGGTCAGAATTTCGGATTTGTCGACGACGCCGACTAACGTGTGTGAACAAGGTTTCGGCTATATTACATCTATTAATATATTAATTAATTAACTAATATATATTATAATATTATCATTTTAAAATTATAACTTCACTTATTATTATTATAAAATTTTTAAAACTCTAATATATCATCCATTAATTGTATATTAACAGATAATATAATATAATTTTAAAAATTTTAAATCTTTATAATTTATATAATGGATAAAGGTTATAGTTTTAAAATGGTAATATCATAACATATGTTGGTACACTAATTAGTATACTAATTAGTATGTGCAGTATCATCTCAAAAAATTAGATCTAATTTTTAAAATAAGTAGTGTGAGAATCAATTGTTTGGGGTGTCCTAAATAAGTGCATTTTTTGACTTTTTATGAAATATGGGTTGGGTATGGGTTGGATTTAAAATGATGTGATAGAGAGGTGATGTGACTTAAATAAGATGATGTGACTTAAATAGGATAGTAACTTTTTGACTTTTTAAAAAAGTGGGCCTAATGTGACACTCTCTCTTATATATTTTAGAACCATCAACTAATCATATCACTTAGTTTATATCATTCAGTTTAGAAAATGAGTTCAAAAAGTGGGCTATTATATCATTTTTGTAAAGGTTTTTATTTATTTATTTATTTATTATGTCTACATAAAAATATTTAATAGAGTGATATAACAATTTATAGCGACTTTTTAATTTTTTAATTAAAAAAAAAAAGCCCCCCAGAGGAGACCTGAGTATTAATATTTACATTAAAAAATTAAACATGCCTTTCAGAATATGACACTATATTAAAATATGTAAGTAAAATTTATTTTATAATTATTAACCAATTATCATGATTGCACCTGTACATTTTTTTTTAATGAATACTCAGTTAGCCCATATGTCGTTTTCGGTCTAATAGTCGGTAAAGATTTTTTTAAATAAAGAAAACAATATACAAACTTATTTTCTAAATTAATTTTTTAGATATAATAATGTATAAGTGATATAATTGGCTGATAATTAGTACATATATATAAAATAGTGTTACCTTTAAAATTCTAATCGATTGTCCACATCACTAAACTTAAAAATTAAATATAATTTTTAGGAGGATGATCCCCTCCAATCTAGATTTTAAATTGAAGGGCGATATTTGGATTCGTGGAGCCCTTTATAGGTCCCGTTTCGATGATCTGAACCGTTAGTTTTGTCATGTATTTCGTGTATTTCGTTTTCAAAAAAAATTAAATCAATTCAATAATTATAACTTGTTCAATTTTTTACTAAGAAAATAAACAACAATGATAAAAAGGTATTATCTTTGATATTCTAATTAATTATCACATCACTAAACTTAAAAATTAAATATAATTTTTTATCATAAATAAAAATGTTTTTTTTTTTTTTTTAAATGTGGACTGCCCACTACGCTCCATCCCCCATCCATCACCACGTGCGTAGACATTTAACCCAGTTGCTGTTTATGGGGCTATAAAACAAAACAGAACCATAATGTGTGATTCATAAGCAATTTATAATATCCCAATTGAGAGCAGAGGAGAAGAAGAGAGAATGGGTTCGATGGGCAAGTTAGAAAAACCTCATGCAGTTTGTATACCATACCCAGCTCAAGGCCACATCAACCCCATGCTCAAACTCTCCAAACTCCTCCACCAAAGAGGCTTTCACATCACCTTTGTCAACACTGAGTTCAACCACAAACGCCTCCTCAAATCTCGGGGCCCCGACTCCCTCAACGGGCTCTCTTCCTTCAGGTTCGAAACCATACCCGATGGGCTCCCCGAGTCCGATGCCAATGCAACCCAAGACATCCCATCACTGTGCGAGTCCACCAGGAAACACTGCTTGGCTCCTTTTAAAGACCTTCTTTCGAAGCTAAACGACACTGCTTCGTCGAACGTCCCGCCGGTGACTTGCATAGTCTCCGATGGGGCTATGAGCTTCACTGTGGATGCTGCTGAAGAATTGGGCATTCACTTTAATTTTCTAATTAAAAAAAAAAGCCCCCGGAGGAGACCTGAGTATTAATATTTACATTAAAAAATTAAACATGCCTTTCAGAATATGACACTATATTAAAATATGTAAGTAAAATTTATTTTATAACTATTAACCAATTATCATGATTGCACCTGTACATTTTTTTTTTAATGAATACTCAGTTAGCCCATATGTCGTTTTCGGTCTAATAGTCGGTAAAGATTTTTTTAAATAAAGAAAACAATATACAAACTTATTTTCTAAATTAATTTTTTAGATATAATAGTGTATAAGTGATATAATTGGTTGATAATTAGTACATATATATAAAATAGTGTTACCTTTAAAATTCTAATTGATTGCCCACATCACTAAACTTAAAAATTAAATATAATTTTTAGGAGGATGATCCCCTCCAGTCTAGATTTTAAATTGAAGGGCGATATTTGGATTCGTGGAGCCCTTTATAGGTCCTGTTTCGATGATCTGAACCGTTAGTTTTGTCATGTATTTCGTGTATTTCGTTTACAAAAAAAATTAAATCAATTCAATAATTATAACTTGTTCAATTTTTTACTAAAAAAATAAACAACAATGATAAAAAGGTGTTATCTTTTATATTCTAATTAATTATCACATCACTAAACTTAAAAATTAAATATAATTTTTTATCATAAATAAAAATGTTTTTTTTTTTTTTTTTTTTAATGTGCGACTGCCCACTACGCTCCATCCCCCATCCATCACCACGTGCGTAGACATTTAACCCAGTTGCTGTTTATGGGGCTATAAAACAAAACAGAACCATAATGTGTGATTCATAAGCAATTTATAATATCCCAATTGAGAGCAGAGGAGAAGAAGAGAGAATGGGTTCGATGGGCAAGTTAGAAAAACCTCATGCAGTTTGTATACCATACCCAGCTCAAGGCCACATCAACCCCATGCTCAAACTCTCCAAACTCCTCCACCAAAGAGGCTTTCACATCACCTTTGTCAACACTGAGTTCAACCACAAACGCCTCCTCAAATCTCGGGGCCCCGAGTCCCTCAACGGGCTCTCTTCCTTCAGGTTCGAAACCATACCCGATGGGCTCCCCGAGTCCGATGCCGATGCAACCCAACACATCCCATCACTGTGCGAGTCCACCAGGAAACACTGCTTGGCCCCTTTTAAAGACCTTCTTTCGAAGCTAAACGACACCGCTTCGTCGAACGTCCCGCCGGTGACTTGCATAGTCTCCGATGGGGTTATGAGCTTCACTGTGGATGCTGCTGAAGAATTGGGCATCCCTGAAGTTCTTTTCTGGACAACTAGTGCTTGTGGCTTCATGGGTTATGAACAGTATCGTAATCTTATCGATAAGAGTTATATTCCACTTAAAGGTATTATTAATTCAATTAATATGTATATTAATATAATTACATGTATACATTACATGCACACACATACATGTACATGCATTCAAGTATGCTAGATCAACACCTGTTTTTATTAATTAAAATAATTGATACATAAAATTTTTGCGATGATGACACAGAGCTCTAACCAAAGCACTAATGCCGTGATAAGATATATATAAAAAAAACAATCAAAACATTAAATCGATGTGTATGCTCACCCATTAGAGTTCTTGTTTTAAAGTTTTAAATTTTTTTTTAAAATTTTTTTTACGTGTGTGAATTTTTTTATATAAAAGTTGTATTTATATCTAATTATTTTTTATTTTATTTTAATTGGATTGATAACACCTCTTCTCCCATCTAAAGTCAATTAATTTCTGTATCACATGATGGGTCAGTAGTTTGATCTTAAAGTCAATAAAAATTTTGAAAATTTACATGATTACAGACAAAAAATAAAAATAATAAAAAAAAACAAAATTAATAGAGTAGAGAAATAAATTAAAAAAACATATTAATCGACTTTGGGAAGGATTTGTTTTGGTTTTTTTTTTCACTAAAAGACAAATTAGTTACAAAATAAAAAAAAAATTCAAACAAAATATCACATCAAATCCCATAATCATTTTACTTTTTCTCTCACAAACATCACATTCAACCACAAAAAATCTAATTATCTTCCCAAACATAAATTTTTTTTTTCCAATAATATTTTATAACTAAAAAAATCTATAAAAAAAACTCATTTCCCAAACACCCACATTATGAGTCTGCATCTGTCCTCCAGGAAAAGTGTGGCAAGTGTTGACATTTACTCCTATCGTATCTATATTTACCTTTATCTATATTTACCTTTATTAATTGAATAATGTTTTAATAATGTTCGAGATTTTAAAGGTTTATTAAATTTTTTAAAAATATTTTATACAAATGCAAAATTTATATGAGATTTATATGATATAAATTTTACATTTATATAAGATATTTGATAAAAAATTAAATAATTTTTTTAAAATTTTTAGCATTATTATTATTAATTTATGAATTTATCGAGATTTTCAATACAATATCGTAAGTTTGGTGCTGATATTATTTTTTTGGGGTGATGTGCAGATAAGAGTTGCATGACAAATGGGTATTTGGATACAGTTATCGATTGGATACCTGGTATGAAAGGTATACGTTTGAAGGATTTACCAAGTTTTCTTCGAACCACAGATCTAAGCGATTTTATGATTGATTTTGTGTGCGGTGAAACTGAGAGAGCTCGCAGAGCCTCTGCCATTATTTTCAATACATTTGAGAAATTAGAACATAACGTTTTGGAGGCTCTTTCATCCATGTTCCCTCCAATCTACACCATTGGACCTTTACACATATTAATGAATCAAATCAACGATGATAGTCTAAAGTTGATAGGATCAAATCTGTGGAAAGAAGAAACCGAGTGCCTCGAATGGCTTGATACAAAAGGACCTAACTCTGTTGTTTATGTGAACTTTGGAAGCATCACTGTCATGACACCAAACCAAATGGTTGAGTTTGCTTGGGGACTTGCTAATAGCAACCAGACATTTTTGTGGGTAATAAGACCTGATCTTGTCACTGGCGACTTGGCTATTCTTCCACCAGAATTCATGGAAGCAACAAAAGAAAGAGGCTTATTGGCAAGTTGGTGCCCCCAAGAGCAAGTTCTTGACCACCCGTCTATTGGAGGGTTTTTAACTCACTCTGGGTGGAACTCCACACTCGAAAGCATTTCGAGCGGAGTTCCAATGGTCTGTTGGCCATTTTTCGCGGAGCAACAAACAAATTGTTGGCACTGTTGCACCCAATGGGGCATAGGGATGGAGATAGATAATGATGTTAAGAAAGATGAAGTTGAGAGCCTTGTGAGAGAGTTGATGGTTGGAGAGAAAGGGAAGGAGATGAAGAAAAAGGCTATGGAGTGGAAGAGATTGGCTCAAGAGACCACTGAGAGTTCATCTGGTTCATCTTTCTTGAATCTAGACAAGCTGGTCAATCAAGTTCTTCTCTCTCCAAGACATTAGCATTAGGTTAATTGCGCTAAACCAAGTTTACAATTATCTCTACTATCTTTTCAATTTATTGTCTTGTTTTGGGTTGCGTTGTGTTGATCTTTATTTTATTTTTGTTTTTTTGTTTGTTATTGAGATTGAGATAAGCATAAACCAAAAAAAAAGAAAAAGATCTTTTGTATATATATATTTTTTTTGTGATTGATTTGGATATTTTGTCATTGTTCGGAGAGGTCTTATAGAACGAAAAAAATTTGAAGTCATGATGACAATTATAGTAAGTTTTTGTTCATATCATGCAAGTTTTTTGTTGGCGCCGTCGGAAGGTACTGTTTGGATGCAAGAAAATATGCGGAAGTTTGATTAAAAAATGAATATAAAGCTTTTGAAGTCCTCAAGCAGAACTTATGGGAACTGCCGTGGTCAAATTTCAGTTTATCTCTTATCAACATTCGGTTCAAATTAACTGTTAAAATTTTTTGAATTCAATTTTATAAAATTTAAGTTTTTTATTTTTCGTATTTTTGTATTTTTTTGTAAAATTTTTAAAATATTTTAAGCAAATTTTTTACATTTTAAATAAGGTAATTTATAAATACACCCCCTAAGATTTGATTAGAATACGAATCGCCCTCTCTGATTTTGAAAATTACATTCCACCCTTGAGGTTTCTAATTTTATAACAAATTGTCATTTTATTAATAAATCATCAAGTCAATTAACAGTTTTTAATGATGTTAAAATATGTTTCAATTAATAATTTAGGTAATTTTATTATTGTATAGGAGATCAATTATGAATTTCATTTTTTTACTTAATTCTGTTAAATAAAAAATTCTATTAAGGAGACATTTGTAATTTTTCAAATTATAAAGAGCGATCTGTATTTTAAGCAAACCTCAAGGGGTGTATTTGTAATTTATCCTTTTAAATACACTTAATATAAATACAATTAAAAATTATAATATTTGTAAAAAAAAAATCTTTTAAAAATTTATTAAATACCAAAAGATATGAAAATTTAGTACATTTTTGTATTCTTGTGTATTTACTAATTTTTTAAAATATTTTACTTTTTAGTTACATCTAGGTTAGGGCTATCTAGAAAGTAAAAAAATTGCTTAAATTATTAAAAAAAATTCATGAAAAATAAAAAAATACGAAAAAAATCAATTTTCAAAAAATTAAATTCAAAAAATTAGAATCAAATAACGTGATGTGTTTATATTTTCAAAAGTCAGGCTCCTAGATGGAATAAAATATAATGAGGAAAATTATATTTTGAATCTAAAAAGGATGAAAATGTCATAGGCATATAATGAGATTACATATGTATAAAATTTTATTTTTTCGTTTAACAGTGTACTTTAATTTACAAATTATAAAAATAAAAAATAAAAAATTTATGATATGAACTAGAGAGTGCCAATTAAGATTGCTCAACTTCTATTGATATATGGAACAACTCCAGGAATGAATCTTTAACCCTTGCTTCTAAATTCTAGTTAATATTATAGAATCGATTTTTTTTTTTTGATGTAGTCCTTTTGGTCAGCAAAAAGTCTCAGCACCAAAATAATAATAATAATAATAACAAAGAAAGAAGTTATTCAAAATTTTAGATTTATGATTTAGATTTGATTTTTTTTTATTTTTTTATTGTGGGGCCACTCCATGAATGAATATTGACTTTAAATTTTAAGGGTAAATTACACTGACATCCCTTGAGGTTTTGGCTTAATACAGATACCCTCTCCACGTTTAATTAATTATTCTGCACCCCCTATAAGTGTTTGTTGTTTAACCCAAGTAATAGTTAGCTTTTTTTTTTTTTTTTTTGAGTTGCTCTATTTGTTTTCTTTTAGTTTTGATTTTGTTCTCTTCAAAACAAAATAAGATCTCTTTCATCGAAAGTATTAGAGACTCTCTTCTAGTCCCATTTTGAAGCATGGCAATGGATATCAATTCATGTTCCATGAGCACAGAGAGGAGTCCCTAATTCCTTTCTTCAATGATGCAACCTCTTGTTTCCAAGGCTTTTACATCAAATGATTCTCATTAACCTATTCTCTCTAATTCAAGTACTCATTTATTCTTGTTTACCATGAGATGTAGTATGTTTGAGCCGTTTCTTCATTTGAAGTTTCTAGCTTTAATTCTCATTTTTGCCGCCTCTACAATCATCATGCAACAACCTTGCGATGGTTCATGATTTAGGAAGCAAATCTACCTCTTCCTTGAACATCTTCATGATAGAAAGGTGTAGAAAGGACAAATATTTTTTGGAAACATTATGTTTGCACTGTTATTACCTCATTGTACAAAACAGGTTTTTTGGTTGAAATTGAAGCACCACTGTCTTTTATTGGACCCGGTCGGGCCTCATTTTGGAACGGCCAGGCCTCAAAGTGGACAAATAGAGTGCTGTCGTTGGCAAAACAGAGAAGTGGCTGAGGGTAGAACAGAGCAGTTCTCCCAAAGGCAGATAGAGCAATTTCTAGAGAATATTCTCATTTGAACGCGTGTGGTCCTTGTTAGGAATGGCAACGGGGCGGGTGGGATGGGACGGGACCTATTTTTAGGAATGCCAACGGGGTGGGATGGGGCTAGGGATCACACTTCTTGTCCCCGATCCTTGATGGTGGAAATTTCCTGATCCCCGATCCCAATCTTCGACGGGGAACCTATCATTACCCCCATCCCCTTAACAGGGATCGGGTTTTTCCGATCTCGAAAATTCCCCGGCCAAAAAAAAAAAAATCAGCTCAAAAAAATATAAGAATTCATCAACAACAACAACAACATCATCAACAAAAATATAAGGTCCAACATCATAGCAGGAACAACTCGATCATACCATTCCTCCCATTCAGGCCTCAGGGTGGGCCAACAGCGGTGGAATCGAGTCAACCTTTAGCTCCCCTAGTGAAGGCCACCCTCGTAAAAGAGGCAGTGATCCTCTAGACACGGGTATAAGGCAGGGAGCTGAACAAGGGCTTCCCTGAAAATAGGTCCAAGCACGTATTCTCCTTGAGCATGATGACGGGGAATAAGGATGCGTTCATCGACAGCACACCGTTCACCGGCTCTGTATTTGTCACATTCCTTATTAATGAGTCTTCTCAAAGCCACAGATGGACTTACGTGCTCAACGACTGGTACTTTTAGAGGAGAAGAAGCCATTATTGAGGAGTTGAAGAAAGAAGGTGGATGATGAGTGAAAAGTTGCAGACAAGAGCAATAGGGGTGAGAAGGGAAATTTTGGGCAAGTGAATAGGTAAAGCACGAAGAAAAAGGGTTTCAAACCTTTCCGTCCAAAAAATTACCAAGTTGACCTAATGGGTCAAGTAGACCCGAAATAAATTATTTAATGGTTTTTGACTAATGTGGAATTAAAACTTTAGTTTTAAAATACAAGGGGTCTCAAAACCATATCATAGAGTCCCTTTCAAGAGTAAGTTTTGGGAGGGAAGTATATTTTTAAACACTCAGTTGGCTTTGAAAACCTGTAAGTTGGCTTCGAAGCCAGTTTCCTTCCAAGATCTTCGAAGCTTATGCCTTAAAAAGATATTAGTTACAGCTTGTTCTCTTCGAAGGTTTTATAAGCATACTTCTAGGATGTCTTTATAAGGTAATATCCTGCGAAGGAGTCTTCAGAATGCTTATCTTGTTTTGGGGTTCTGCAATAAGTAAGCACTACAAAACCAGTTCTTCGTCAAATAATGAAGAAACCCACAATACTTACCTTTACATGAAATTTCATCATTGAATTTTCTATCTGAGAGAGCTATTTAAGAGTAAGCAATGTAATTTCTAAGGAAAAATTCCATACTTCGAAGCACTTAAACGTAGTTTTGAAGAAAGGTTGGTTAATTCAAAGTTATTAGATTATGTTGACCATGCGATTGGAATGAGAAGACCTAAGGCAAAATTGTCAATTGTATTCCATACTTTGGAGACACTCAAATCAGGCTTTGAAGCAAAAATTGGTTAATTCGAAACTCTATTTTTATTTGAATTGCGTAAATAAAATGGTTACAAGCATGCAATTAGAACATAAAATCAGATTATGCCAAATAGGGGAAGAAAACCCCTAGTTTTATTAATATGTAAGTAATTACATTAGAAAGGCCTACTTGGCTACGAATTCGATTTCATAATAATAGGGAATAGAAAAAGTAACAAGTTCATTAAATTTAACTTAGCAGTGTTCCATGAACTTATGTTCTTTCTTTATTCTATTTTCTATTCTATCAAAGTTAGGTTGTTGCAGCTGGTATGCTCTTATTTGGTGAGAAAACTATTCATCTTTCGCCTTGAACTTTGTCTCTTTCGAGCCTTGCTCCATTTCGTCCATATTTAAATCATCCCAGTGCGTTGAATCCTTATTCACTACAACAAAAAAGGCCTTTGGTGACAGACTGATTTTGTTTCCAAACATCAAATTTTCGTCACTAAAGTGATCTGTGATGAAAAATTTTTGTCACCACGTTTGTCGCCTATACGTTGTCGCTGAAAGTACCTGGTGACAAAAAACAGTTTTGTCACCTACTTTTCATTTTTGGCGACGAAATTTTTCGTCTCCAAATGTTGCATTTTTCGTCTTCTATAACATCAATTTCATCACTAAAATTAGATAATATTTTATTTTAATTGTTTTTGGCGATGAAATATTTCGTCACCAAATAGATTTTAGTGACTAAAGTTTTCCTCACCAATGATATAGACACTACAAGAAAATACATTTTTGGCAACCACTTTTGCCGACTAAAAATATTTTGGTTGCCAAAAGTTGTGGAATTGGCGACCAAAAATTATGTTAGTCGGTAAAAGTACAATATTTAGCTATTAAATTTTTTTAGTCAAGGTATATTGATTATTGTCGATTAAAAAAAAATTTAGTTGCTAAAATTCTCACAATTGGCGACTAAAAAAAATTTAGTCGCTAAATTTGCCACAATTGGTGACTAAAAAAATATTTTAGTTGTTGTATAGTTAGTTTTGGCTACTAAAATTATTTAGTCACCGAATGAAAAATAAAATCTAACTTTTTATTTTTTGCAAACAAAAGTTTGATCGCAAAATATTTATTTTTAGCGACTAAAAAATATTTTAATCGCTGTATAGATAGTTTTGGCAACTAAAATTATTTAGTCGCCAAATCAAAAATAAAAATTTACTTTTTATCTTTGGCGACCAAAAGTTTGGTTGGCAAAAATTTAATTTCAGCAACAAAAAAATATTTTAGTCGTTGTATAGATAGTTTTGGCAACTAAAATAATTTAGTCGCTGAATGAAAAATAAAAATTTACTTTTTATCTTTGGCGCCCAAAAGTTTGGTCGGCAAAAATTCAATTTCAGCGATTAAAAAATATTTTAGTAGCTGTATAGATAGTTTTGGCAACTAAAATAATTTAGTCGTTGAATGAAAAATAAAAATTTATTTTTTATCTTTCGCAACCAAAAGTTTGGTCGGCAAAAATTTAATTTCAGCGTATAGATAGTTTTGGCAACTAAAATAATTTAGTCGCTGAATGAAAAATAAAAATTTACTTTTTATCTTTGGCGACCAAAATTTTGGTCGGCAAAAATTTAATTTCAGCGACTAAAAAATATTTTAGTCGCTGTATAGATAGTTTTGGCAACCAAAATAATTTAGTCGCTGAATGAAAAATAAAAATTTACTTTTTATCTTTAGCGACCAAAAGTTTGGTCGGCAAAAATTTAATTTCAGCGACTAAAAAATATTTTAAATATTTTAGTCGTTGTATAGTTACTTTTGGCTACTAAATTTATTTAGTCGCTGAATGGAAAACAAAAATTTACTTTTATTTTTGGCGACTAAAAGTTTGGTTGCCAAAAATTTATTTTCAGCGACTAAATAAAATTGTAGTCGCTGTATAGTTAGTTTCGCCTACTAAAATTATTTAGTCGCCAAATGAAAAACAAAAATTTATTTTTTATCTTTCGTGACCAAAAGTTTGGTCGCCAAAAATTTATTTTCAGCGACTAAAACATATTTTAGTCACTGTATAGTTAGTTTTGCCGACTAAAATTATTTAGTCGCCAAATGAAAAAAAAAATTATTTTTTATCTTTCACGACCAAACGTTTGGTCGCCAAATATTTGTTTTCAACGACTAAAATATATTTTAGTTGCTGTATAGTTAGTTTTGCCTACTAAAATTATTTAGTCGCCAAATGAAAAACAAAAATTTATTTTTTTATCTTTGGCAACCAAACGTTTGGTCGCCAAATATTTTTTTTTCAGCAACTAAAACATATTTTAGTCGCTGTATAGTTAGTTTTGCCTATTAAAATTATTTAGTCGCCAAATGAAAAACAAAAATTTCCTTTTTATCTTTCGCGACTAAAACATATTTTAGCCGTTAGTTTTGCCTACGAAATATTTTTAGTTGCCGAATGAAAAATAAAAATTTACTTTTTATTTTTTTTACCAAAAGTTTGGTCGCAAAATATTTATTTTTAGCGACTAAAACATATTTTAGTCGCTGTATAGTTATTTTGCCTACTAAAATTATTTAGTCGTTGAATGAAAAACAAAAATTTACTTTTTATCTTTGTTGACCAAAAGTTTGGTCGCAAAATATTTATTTTTAGCGACTAAAACATAATGTATAAAAATTGAATTTGTTTATTTGAAGGAGCTCTCTCTTCTCCATTTGTGGGTCATCGATCTCAATCCCTCAAGCCGCTTTGTATGTCTTTGCCACCATCGCCGATACCACCGGCGATCTTTGCCTAACAGCTAGGCTAGTAAGAAGAAAAGAGGCATTTATCTATCACTTGAGAATCGATTAAGGCATGAAGATCTTCCTTTACTGATAAAAATCGTATCGATCTTGATTGAGAAATCAACCTCGGAGTTGAAAGTGTTGGTGTGGCCAGAAGTGAGAACTCCTTCAAGCCATTTATTCATCACCCTGCATTGTCGAAGCCATCCTTCTATATCTCCTACAGACCCAACCCATTGAAGAAAATAGGGCTACTTACGTGTAGATCCTAATAGGTGGACTTATTGTCTAATAAGTCCTATGGGAAAAATTTGTCATAAAAAAATGTCACCAATTGTAAGTTTTAGCGACAATTTATAAAAATCATGACAAAAGAAAGTCACTAATTGTCAATTTTTAGCGACATATATAAAAAATTGTCACGAAAAAATTATTTTTAGCGACAATTTTACCCAGACTTATTTTCAATAGGACTTGATGGGAATTAAGTCCAACTATTAGGATCTATTGGTAGTTTACCCAAGAAAAATATTCATACCTAGATCTCGATTAGCACATATGACTGTAAACCTTGTGGTGGTGATACCACAGAGCAACTCATCAATAGCTATAGGCTAGGGCTAGGGCTCCACATCGATTGAGTCGCCATCGGTTTGATTAATTTGATGGTGGGTCCACCGTCGTTCTATGGAAACAAGCCGACCATGCTTGATCTTCTTAGGCTAGGGATTAGAGTTGGTGGAGCCTCCACTACTGGCTTTTCGGCTTTGTTTACTTCCATTGGAGATGGGCTTGATGTTGCGGTGGCTAGTGGCGGAGCCAGGAAATTAAGTTAGAGGGGGCAATTATTAATTATAATTTGTTATTTTAAATTATCATGATCAATATTAAGATAAGAATAATTTTATGAGCTAAATTTAAGCATAACAAATTCAAAATCATTATTAATAGGAACAAATCAAAATTCTATAATAGTGTGTAATACATCGGTGCGGGATGGTAATATAAGTTTGTAATTTTGGCTCAAAAAATTACCAGGTTTCAAAATTCCTAATTTTAGAAAATAAAAACACATCATTTATAGCACAAAATATTATAAAATCTATTTAATTTTTATTTGACAAAAATATTAAACAGGTCTTATTGGTTATAAATGATGTGTTTTGAACGTAAATTATTACATAGTTTTCGAGTACCATATGGTGTTGCCTATGTGATGCTCAAAATATGAGAAATCACAAATTACACTAAATAGTTTTTCAACTACATCAAAATAATGACTTAATTATATTCAATCTATAAGATTTTGTACTACATTATTGGTTTAAACTACTGCGTAAATACATTTTGTATATGCCCACACAACAAAAACAAAAAAATTTCAAAATTGGAAACATCTGAAAAAAAATGAGTTGATAATATTGGAAACATCTGTAAAATTGTAATTGGAAACATCTAGTAAATTGTAAACATCTGTAAAATTTTTAGTGACCAAAATTTGGTCGTAGATGTTAAAGCGACCCTGTTTTGAATGTTATTGAAGTAAATTTTGATACAATACCGACCACAAACAGTATTGCTCTTTTAGGGAAAAAATTGCCCTATATCAACCGAGTGAATTTTTCAAACTCTTTATACAGTCACTCCCGCACACCACTCCCGCGCACCACTCCTCATATGCACCCCATCGTCGATTCTCCTGCTCGATTGCAGTCAACAAAGTCGCTCCTCCTCCGTCATCGCAGTCGCCTGTGTCGATTTTTCAACCAAGCATCAGCGACGCTTCGAGAAGTACTTGGGCCTCCATTGTTAGGTATGTATTTGTATCTCTGTCTTTGTCTCTCTCTCTCTCTCTCAATCTTTGTAGTTGTGTTCCATTACTCCTCTTACTCACATGGTTGCTTTCTCTTTTCGCACCTAATAGCACCACCATCACCATCTTTCTACTATAACCAGTTCGCCTATCTTCAAACAACCCCGACATCAAGTATGGGTCCTCTCTCTCTCTGTCGCTCAATTTCTCTATTTTCCTTTGTTTTCCCTATTTGTCAAAACCAATTTTTTTGAAAATCCCTAATTTTAAAGCCCTATTGAGTGAATGTTTGAAGGGATGGACTAAAATCATACTCACCAGATAATGCAAACAATGAAAACTGATATATATATATATGTATATTCTTGTTCGTTTTGGTTGGGATGACAGAACACATGCAAGTATACCATATCCCCTTCATATAATTTGCTTATTAGTTGGGAATTTTGTGTATCACTGTTTGTATGATCTGGGTTATTGCATGATCATTAATAAACAAAGCTGTGCTAAGTTGAGTTGAGTTAGAGGTCTTTATTTTCTCTGATTCAATCAAAAGAATTTATTTTTGTTGAACTTTGCAATGATTTCGATTGTTTGGTTTGTTTTTGTAAAGTTAATGTATCTTTGTGCTTCTAGTTTATTGCATAACGTTTCTTGAGCAAGCTTTTTATTATGTATACATTTTCATCAAGTGAATTTTGAGCATATTTGATAAGGGTAGTACGTTGATATAGTGGATTTGTTTGGTGATTTCATTAGAACCTACTTCTTTAGGGATCCGATTGGTTGTACACTATCGAGGTTAATTATTATTTATTGGCTATGAATTGGATGACTTGTGAGTTAGGATGATGGTTACCTTGAAAAGGCATTTCATGTGTGGTGGCAATTTACTTAATAGTGTGTAATGGTTCAATTATAAATCTGTCGGACGTGTGGCATTATTGGCCAAGCCCCAACAAAAGACTGAGATTTCAGATGTGTTATTGCCTTTTAAATGTTGAAAAATTTGAAGTGGTTTGAATTCCTACCCCTCAACAAAACAAAACCAAGAAATTTAGATATTTCATTTCATTTCTCTTTTCTTTCTTTCATAATCACTTTGACTTTCCTTTTCTTTTTACTTAACTAATCCAAGTTTCTAAACATATGCACAACAACTTATATGCTACCAAGTCGTAGGCACATCGCAAAAAATAAGTTAAAATTGCTATACATACCAAACCTGTAGGTTATTGCCTGGATGGGACTAATTAGGTGTACTTGTTGCAGTCCATCATTGATTTTTTAAATATGTGACATTGATATTTAAGGATGAGCCCTGTTATGGTGCAATATGTTGATTCCGATTTTGTCTTAGTATGGAGATGCTCCAGAATGTTGTCCTGTTTCAATGTGTAAACTAATTATAAGATACATGGTATTGTCATTCTGATTGTGATTTAGCAACATAAGAAACAGTTGCATCATAATTTTTTCTTCCTTTACCAAATTGACATGCACAGAAACACAATAATGCTCTTTACATAGAACACACACACACATTAGTCACTTCTATTATTGTAAACTTCTTAACTACATAAGTTTTGAATAATGTGCCCTTGAGTGTGTGACTAATGAAAAAACATTTTACTGAGGGAATTGATTTGGCGATTCTACATTTGCAAATGAAAGGATAAGTTTTATTATATGCCCTCTTTCCGAGCTACAAAGGCATGGTTGCACCCCTTCATGCAGTAGCCCAAAGTGATGAGAGTAGTTGTAGAGATGGCTAGAGACAAAAACAAAAACAATGTTAAAGCTAATAGCAGCATTAGTAGTACTAATAATGCTATTATTTGATGATTGCTGCAGTTGATGACATCAACAATTTTATAATCGATAGCATATTAAGGTTTTGTTGCCTTTTAAATGTATAAAAATTATAAGTGGTTTGAATTCCTACCCCTTTTCCCAAATTTTCAATTGTTTTTATACTTCTCTTAGCCTTTAGTCATTTTTCTTAGCATTCAATATGTAAGTGAATTCAAAAACAAATCTGGGCAAGGGTTTTAGTTAAAGTCTTAAATACTAAAGGATAAAAGTACCTTGTAGAAACTCACAGAGTCAGCACGGGGTGCTAGGTTTTAGTCGCTAATCAAAAACCTGACACTTTGTCTTGAAAATAAGCTTTCATTTGGGAAAACCATAAAATAGCCACAATTTTGGCCAAGAATCAGTATGAAAACATTAGTAAGAATAAAAGTAACTTGTAGAAACTTATAGAATAATCACGGTACTCAACATTGTAAAGTTAAGCTCCAACTTGCATTTATTGAACGCTTGAGCTTGGAAATAAGCACTTAGAGGGAAAAATCATAAAATAGCAAACCCTGAAATTATGTAAGTGGGAATTGAAAGAAGCAACATATAATGTATCAATCCAAATCATTGAAAATGAGTTGATGACATCTGTCAAAAAATAGTTTCCATTGTGTTTAGGGTTCAAGTAATTTGTGGATTCTGTTGTTATTGTGTTTTTTTGGCTCCAACTGGGAATGCTTTGTTGAAGTGTTGATCACCATTTTGTTTTGAGGTTTAGGCCAGCGCTAACAATGTGTTCATGCTGGTTGTGCCATGATTGTTACTGTCTTGGGGCTGGTTTGGTTATTGTATTTGTCTGCTGATTTGTGGTGCTTCTATGGCAGCTTTGATGTTATTGGTTTAGGTCTTAATTATTGTTTGGTGCTTTTAGCTCGACTCTGAAACAGGGGCAGCAGGGTTATAAGGTCTTAAGCAATGTAAAACATAACACCTTAGGCTGTATTGGCTGTGTCTCTGGCATACCTTTGTGCCATGGTGCCTATGTAGATGTATATATCAAATTTGCTATTTTGGTATCATGACAGCTTAAACAATTTTGAACAGGCTTCTTTTTATCTTTTTGGCTTTGCCAATATGGAGATTTTAGAGAGTATATGCTTCAAGTGTTTGCTTTGAGTTCAAGGTGTTTTTCTGTTGCAAAGGAGTTGTGTATATTACAACAGTTTAGTTGGTTATTATGTCTTCAACATGTGTCATTTTTTTCAGATCAAGCAGCACAGACCAAAGCATTCAATGAAATGAAGCAGACAGTCCCCTGAAATGAGTTCCCAAAAACTTGAATTATCACTATTTCTAGTACCAGAAAACTTGACTTATCAACCCTTGTTTTAATTGCAAGTTAATCCAAACATATGTCCACATAGGCCGAAAAGAAATTTTTCATAATTAAATGCACGCATGCGTATGTTGTTCACTTATTCTTCTTACTTATGTATTGATGTTTATGAATGATGTTTATGAATGAAGTTTCTTGTGGGTGTTATTTTTGGAGTCATAAGGTGCATTGATGTTTATGAATGAAATTTCTTCATTTCTTTAGAACCATAGACATTCATAGGTCACTAATATCATAGATTTCACCTAAACTACTTTATGAATTATGTTACCAGCGTTGACAAAAACAATTAATTGTGAAAGTCAATAATTTATTATTGCTATTGTTGCTGCCCATTTGCTTGGCCTTTTCTAGGGCCATATTACTAGGCTATAAAACCACCAAATGGGCCCATTTTTTTTTTCACGTAGAAAACAAATGTTTAGCATGTTTAGGGTAGTTTATTACACTTTCTCTAATATTTTCAAACCCTAATTAATGTAATGGTTGTCTTTAACCTTTCAGATGGCCCAAATAGACAAGGGTTGGATGACAATAAAAAATAGATTAAGCAGTAAGGAGTATAAAAAACGGGTGAATTCATTTATTGAATTTGTGAAGATAAATGTAGGCTTTGAGGATAAGATCCGGTGTCCATGTATCGATTGCTTGAATGACAAAATACATACAAGCCACGTGGTAAAGATTCATTTGATTCGAAGAGGGATATCTCTTTCTTACGAGACTTGGGTGCACCATGGGGAACTTGTTCCCGTGGCTCAACCTCTCATACCGAATGAAGGTCACTATGTCATATATAGTGAAATTATAGGGGAAGATAAGGATGTCGGGGATGATTTGCCTACTATGTAGGAAGAGGTTTGTAGGGGTTTTGCAATGGGTAAGGAAGGGGACGAATTACCTGCTAGTTTTGAGAATGTGGAGGGGCGCAACTTTGATAAATTATTTGAAGATGCTCAACGTAAACTATACCCGGACTGCACAAGTTTCACTGTGTTGTCATTGGTTATTAAGATGCTTCACATTAAGGTGTACAACAAGTGGAGCAATAACTCATTTGATATGGTTATGAAAGTTTTCAAGGCTACTCTACCCGAGTGTGATGAGACTGTTCTATGGACCATATATGTCACCAAAAAATTCTTACGTGACTTGGGTTTGGGCTACGTTCCCATTCATGCGTGTAGGTATGACTGTGCATTATTTTGGAAGGAGAATGCAAATCTTCATAATTGCCCCAAGTGTAAAGAGCCTAGATACAAGTTGGACAACGAAAAGGGTAAGAAGATCCCTCATAAGATATTGAGGTACTTTCTGTTGACACCAAGATTGAAGAGATTGTATATGTCCAAGAAAATCGCTACACATATGAGATGGCACAAGGAGAAACATCTGGATAATGGAATATTGAGGCATCCAGCTAATGCTGAGGCATGGAAAGAGTTTGATCGGCAACATCCTATGTTCGCCATGGATCCATGAAATGTAAGGCTAGGGCTCGCTACCGATGGTTTCAATCCATTTGGAAATATAAGCACATCATACAGTATGTGGCCCGTTGTCCTAATGCCTTACAACCTTCCACCGTGGAAGTGTATGAAAGAGCCTTTCTCCATGATGTCATTGCTTATTCCTGGACGATCGGCACTTGGAAGAGATATTGATATTTACTTACAGCCATTAGTTGATGAGTTGAAGGAGTTATGGAGGGATGGGGTGCAAACTTATGATGCCAAAAATGAACAATCATTTAGAATGCATGCCGCAGTGATGTGGACCATCAACGGCTTCCCTGCATATGGTAACATGTCCCGGTGGACTACCAAAGGTTATTTGGCTTGTCTCACTTGTAACAAGGATGCATCATCACAAAGGTTAACAAGTAAGATAGCGTACATGGGTGCTCGGCGTTACTTGCCCGAGAACCATAGATGGCGAAGGAGCAAGTTGTTTAACGGACAAAGTGAGGTTAGGTGCAGACCTGTGGAGTTATCAGGGGAGCAAATATTAGAGCAGATTGAGACTGGGACATACAAGCCATTTGGAAAACATCCAAATAACAAGAAAAGACAAAGGAACGAAAATCCAGTGTTCAATTGGACAAAGAGAAGCATTATGTTTGAGTTGCCTTACTGGAAGACGCTTAAGCTTCGATACAACCTTGATGTCATGCACATAGAGAAGAACATTTGTGACAATTTGATGGGGACACTATTAAATGTTGGTGGGAAGAACAAGGACACAGAAAAAGCATGGATTGATTTGGCAAAATTTAAAAATTAGGAAGGAGTCACACCTACAGAGGCGTGAAGATGGGTCATTTGTGAAGCCGCTAGCTGTGTACACATTATTCACGAAAGAAAGACAAGGCATTTGTGCTTTTTTGAAATCAATCAAGTATCCTGACGGTTATGCAGAAAACATCTCCAATTGCGTGAATGCTGATAGTGGCAAAATCTCAGGCCTCAAAAGTCATGATTGTCATTTGCTTGTACAACGACTACTTTCGGTTGGGATGCGTGGGTATCTTAACAATGCAATTGGTACGATTCTTTTTGAGTTAGGAAATTTCTTTCAACAATTGTGTTCAAAGACGTTGAAGGTGACAGATTTAGAGAAACTACAAGATCAAAGCGTACTTGTACTTTGCAAGCTTGAGAAGATTTTCCCTCCAACTTTCTTTGATGTCATGGTTCACTTGGTTGTTCATTTGCCGCGCGAGGCTATACTTGGAGGGCCAGCGCAATATCGATGGATGTACCTAATTGAACGGTAATTATTTATGCTTTTACCATATCACGCTCATCAACTGTTAATGGTAGTCCATATTGTTGTTTAGTATGGACATAGTAAAATTTTTCCCTCTTGTAGGCTACTTGGAATTCTAAAAGGATTTGTTGCCAATAAAGCTCATCCTGAAGGTTCAATTACGGAGGCATACATTTCCAAAGAGTGTACAACTTTTTGCTCGATGTATTTTGATGGAATTGAAACAGTGTTTAATCGAGATGAAAGTAATGATGACGGTGGTGACCACGGTTCAGAGTTAGCCATCTTCTCTCAAAAGGTTTGTCCATTTGGTCTAATCAGTAGGGTACCAGATGTGTCTGTCAACGAATGAGAGATTGCTCACTGGTTTGTCTTGTACAATAGCTTTGAAGTGGAACAGTATGTAGAGTAAGTTTTCACAGTAGAAAGAATTTACAGAGCAAATTTAAGTTTGTCCAATTATTCGTAATTATCTCTCTTACTTATCTACTCTTCTTATTAACTAGGGAACACTAGAACATTTTGCAAAATGGAAGTACATGTGACACCACAAAGAGGCAACGAGATGAATTTCCTAAGTGGTTCAAAGAACATGTAAGACATCTATTTATCATACATTTGAGCACATTATGCTATAATCACCTTCAAGAAAGTAACATAACAAGTATTGCTTATGTAGATAAATCAGTTGCGGAATCAAGGGTCGCCGGAAGCAACCGATGAATTGTGGTCGTTGGCGAACGGTCCTAGTGCAATAGTCAACACATATTCAGGATGTGTTTCTAATGGTGTTCGATTTCATACCATTGACCGTGATAACCGTCGTAAAACTCAAAACAGTGGGTTGGTTGTAGAAGGGGAGCATAAGGGTCGTTCAATGTATTTCTACGGTTACTTGAGCAAAGTGTGGGAAATGACATATCTGTTTAGACATCGAGTTGTTTTGTATAAATGTGAATGGTATAACACCGGTAGCAAGAAGACTTGTCTCACGCATACACATGTCACAAGTGTTGATGTAAAAAGTCGATGGTATGAACATTACCCCTTCATATTTCCAGCTCAAGTAGAATAAGTATTCTACGTTAATGATACCAACTTAGGTGGGAATTGGAAAGTTGTAGAACGATTCCACCATCGAGGAATCTGGAATGTGCCAGAGATGGATGGTGTACCTGATGATGTTCTCAATAGTGTGTTCCAACAAGACGAAACCACTGAGGTTGTAACATTTGTGGACGACAATGGTATGCAATTTGAAGGCGGTGGCGATGAAGGGGTTTTGTGTAGAGATGATATTGAATGTGAAATTATTCCAAATACAATGGTTTTCCAATCTCGTAGTCAAACACAAGTCGAGGGTGTTGATGATGCTTTCATTTGTGATAGCGACGCAGATGACTTCATTGAGGATGATGATGATCAAGAAGAAGACGAATTTGACATTGTTTAACTATGTAAAGCATGACGTAGAACCTTCATGTATTTATTTAGTACACACTAATTGCGGAGATACTACCATAGTTTTTGTTATCTATATCGTCAATATCACTTGCAAATTTACATAGATGGATTAATATATATATATGAAATTAAGATGCTTCATGAATGTTCATTTATTACATAAATGTTTGTTAATTATCAATCTTGATGTATATGTCTATACGCATTAAAAATTTGTGCTTATCCATGTGCTCATTGTTCTCTTTGCCTTTGATTATGTCAAAATGTAACAGAATGGCTCCTGCGAAAAAGATGCGCCGTATTCCTTTACCAAAGAGGGCATTAATTAAACCATACTCATCCCCGACTGATACACCTACACCTGCTCTTGAAGGTGTTGCAGTAGATGGATCTCAGACTATTGCACCATCTCCGTCTCAAAGTAATGCATTGTCAAGATCTGAGACTGTTGCACCATCTCCATCTGAAACTAATGCACGAGCTGATCCATTTATGCAATATCAATGGACTGTTGCTGATCCAGCAACAAAAGGGGCTATTGTACAAGCTGTCCGGGTATGATTCAATTGTTTTCATAGTGTGGATGATGGAAACAGTCCTGTTTTCATTTGTATATAGGAGCTCATTTGTTTTCTTTGTTTACTTTGTTGGTTATGAAAGCTTGAAAAAGTCTAATTACACATTCACATGCAAACATGTCAAGCCTTAGTTAACATCTGGTAACAATATAATCATTCTGGACAAAACTATCGACACTCCAAGTCTAAACCCCCAGCCAGCTGACAGAACCAAATAATGGTCATGCCCAGCTCTGTCCACACCAGTTTGGCAGAAAAAAATTAGGATCTTTAACAGTTAGAACTTTCTCTGTCATATCAAAAATTAGGATCTTTAACCGTTAGAATTTTCTATATTTTATAATAGAAATTAATGTATCACATCTATAAGGGTAATAATAAAAATAAAAAGTATAAAATATGGAATTTAGGATTTGATGGATTAACTCTCCCAAGTAATAAGATTTATTGTTGAGATACAAAAATATGCATAAAACTAATTAGGATACAAGTATGTAAAAATGTATTTACTATTAAATTGCCTTTAAAGGAAAAAAAAAAAAACAGCTTACTGCTAATACATTGGAGAATTTGTTCCTTAACTCCCATGAAGAAGGTTTTGATTTGATGAATGTTTTCCAATAAAATAAGACAAACTCATCTCTTTTTTGTCTTTTTTTTTGTCTTTTTTTTTGTCTTTTTTTTGTCTTTTTTTCCTTTTGTAGCTTTAAGGCAAACTCATAATCAGTAGCACACTTGGCTCAAATTGAATAATAGTTTAGTTATTGTTAAAGAACATTCTTTTAGTAGGATTTAGGAGCTTAGTAGGTGAATGCAACTAATCATTTTTTTACTGTAGGACTTGAATAATTTCATGGAATGTGAATTGCTGTTGTGTTTAGAGTGAGAACATGATTAGGTGTTGTGTACTCAAGAAATGTGTAGTGGATCATATGCTCATTTCAGTCACTCAGTTGGAGTGTAGTAATTAATTTTCATATATCCACAAAACATGATTAGTTCAAAAGCTGCTGTATGCTTATGCTGGCTTTAACATTTAGAATGAAGGGATTGGGTTAGGAGTTAGATTCATATTAGTGTTGATCCAAACGTATAATGGCCTAATTTTGCCTTTTTTTTACACGCATCTGTCCAAAACATGGAGGGTACTCATTATCGATTTATGGAGACATATTACATGTTGTTGGGATCAAAACGAGTAAGCTTTTGATTTTATAGTGTGAACCTGTGTCTTTTTCATTTTTGTTAGGTATGGGCCTTAATAAAATGAGTAAAGATTCACAAAATGAACCTACCATGTCAAGAGTGAATCAAATGGAGGGCTGAGTGAACTGAGACTTGGATTCACAAAATGAACTGATTGCTTCAAATGAACTCTTCACACTCTCTTCTTTGGATTCTCTACTAGTGGTCTGGTCTTTTGTATCTACAATGAAAATGATTTTCACAGACATATACATAGACTAAACTATTGAAATTTGGGCATGGTAGTTAAATTAGGCTCTTTAACAGTTATGTCAAGCCTTAGTTAACAGTGCTGTTTTCATGTGCATATAGGAGCTAATTTGTTTTCTTTGTTTACTTTGTTGGTTATGAAAGCTTGAAAAAGTCTAATTACACATTCACATGCAAAGTGTTTAAAAGCAAAACCAACAGTCATGTCAAGCCACAGTTAACATCTGGTAACAATATAATCATTCTGGACAAAACTATCGACACTCTAAAGTCCAAACCCCAACCAGCTGACAGAACCAAATAATTGTCATGCCCAGCTCTGTCCACACTAGTTTGGCAGAAAAAAAAAATTAGGATCTTTAACAGTTACAACTTTCTCTGTCATATCAACAAAATATGCATATTGGCCTTCTCTTCAAACAACAGATGAAACTCAGAGGCTATTTTCTTCCTTCTAATCTATCAATCAAGCAACGTCTCACTTCCCCTTTAAAATTGGCTCTAATGTGCTATGCAGTTTCCTAAGACCCAAATTTTTACTTATCTCATAAAAGGCAGTTAATTCACAAATTTCACATCTCTCTCTCTCTCTCTCTCTCTCTCACACACACACACACACACACACACACGCACACGCGCACACACACACACACACACACACACACACACACACACACAAAATAAAGGTCTTTCCATGTATCAATAACTTCTTGTAACCTGTTATTCTACAAAGTGGTGACAGGGAAAATCATTGCCATTTTACTATGTGATTCTATAAAGAGATATTATCAGAAAAAGTGACTCAACATCTTACCTATTATGGATTATTTTCAATTGCATCAGAAAATTCACTATTAGAAACACTGTGAAACAAAACCAAGGCATAAAATGGCATGCAAATGAACATATTTAACTGAAGGGACAAACCTGAAGTTCATGCCCAATGCTGAACATATCGAGTAAAAAAACAGAGATAGAAAATAGTATCAAAAGAAAACAAGTAATGGGAAAACAACCACAAATCTTTTCCATATCTAATGGGTAAAAAAGAGTATACATCTTGTTCAAGTGCAAAGCGACGCTCATGAAAATCTTGCTTCCTTCTCTCCAAGCTAGCCTGTAAAATAGCATTTCCTCTAGCCTAACACAAATGGTAGCCAAATTTTGTTTTTGCAATCCAGTGTCATAAGTCATTCTTTGTAATTTCAAGCCTTTGGATAGCCAGTCTACAAACAAGTCATCAAATCTATTTGTTAATAGATAGGTTTCTATATCTATATATACATATATACACACAAAAGGTATTGCACCATAGAGCAAAGCCATGACAATTAACTTGTGTTTAACATTAAAATAATATGGTCAACAAATTCTTTCTTCACATATTGAACTATGAAAGTGGTGGATCATATATTATGGCAAGACTATAGGGAGTCTTCTCCCTCATTTAAACTAGTATAATGACACCATTTTAAGGTTTTCTCACTCTTGACATATTTTCAGCTTTGACATTACATCAGTTAAGTTACTTATTTGGTTTGTATTGATTGTAGGATAAATTTGAGATTGGGGAGAATTACGAGGAGAATTCACTATCCCATCAAGTTATGGAAAATAAGTGTTACATAAAGATTGTAAGGTATGTTATGATTTAGTTATTAGTTAGAACTATTATCATTGTTTAACTATATATGTAACAAACCCTTACAATATGGATTACGTAGTGTCGCTACGACATCGGCAAACTTAATAGGAGCAAGCTACCCTACAATCACACTAGTGGGTCACGATCTTTTCCGGCGGCGATGAGCATTGCGGTGAGATGTGTGTCATTGATTTTATTAACTTTATCCACACTTATTTCATATGTTATCATATTAATGAAGGAGTGTTGATCTCAGTGTTTGGCATATCACAGGTGAAGGAAAACGGTGGCTTGTTGCCAGATATTTGCGTTTTCTACAAGGACACTCATCAAAACAAGAAGACAAAAGAATGGATTGATCCTATATGTGGTGATTTACATGCAAGTATTCCAATCATTTGGACATTTATAGTAACTACTGTGTTTGATTTATATTAACAATATTCCAATGTCACAATTACAGGAGCAAATGACGATGGTGTGGGATGAGTCTATCGAGTCTAGAACGCCTATGACACAAGAGGATATATCAAGAGTGGTTCTTGGGAAGAAGAAGGGATACTTGAGAGGTTTTGGGGTCGGACCAAAGCCCTCGTCCTGTGATTTTGGGTCGAATGCAGCATCACAAGCACGTGAGGAGCACTTGAAAAGGCTTACATCCGAGTTGGAGATACTGCGTGCGGAGTAGCAGAGTGACAGTGAGGAGCATCAAAAAAAGGAAGAGGAGCAACAAATAAAAGATGCAGAGAATGCAAGACAACGTTAGGAGATGCAGGGGCAGATTTTTGGACTTCAAGGCATGTTGGCGCAAGTTTTGGAAATGCTCAATCCACCAAAGTCCCCACCGTAGCTACTCATGGTAATGGGTAAGTGTGTTAAACTAGATTGCATTATATTTATGTTCAAAGTGAAGGCAAATAAACGTGTTCTAAGAATACTAGAGAACAAATTGTGAGGCAAAAATGGGAAAATAGCCCATTCGAGGGCAAAAAATGGAAACAGCACCGAAACAGCCTCAATATTGTAATGGTCACGTCAACGTACATTAAAAAAAAGGTGTGAGAGGAAGCGACACATCGATTGGACACATGGTTAAAGAGTTAGTCAAAAAAATGTGAGGAAAAAGGCGAAAACAGGTCATTTGGGGGCAACATAAACAAAGAAACCCCCAAACATCCTGGAGATCATCACAGTCAGCTCCAACTAGATTAAAGAAACTTATGGGAGCAAGTGGTGTGTCGATAGGACGCACGGTTAGAAATGTAGACCAAAAAATGTTATAAAAAAGCAAAATGGGGCCATTTGGGGCCAACTTAAACAAAAAAACCCCAAGCATCCCACAGATCATCGTAGTCACCTCCGCCTAGATTAAAGAAACTTGTGAGAGCAAGCGATGTGTCGATAGGACGCACGGTTATAAATGTATACCAAAAAATGTGAGGAAAAAGGCGAAAACGGGCCATTTGGGGGCGGGTCCGACAAGACTCTGTAAACTGTCCCGACATTGATTCTGGTTAGCTCCTTCATGGGTCCGACAAGACTCTGTAAACTGTTGGCAAGACTCTGTAAACTGTCACAACAACTGTCACAACATTGTCTGCTACAACGGTCCGACATGACCCCATAAACTGTCAGCTCCAACTAAACAAAGAAACCCCCAAACATCCTGGAGATCATCACGGTCAGCTCCAACTAGATTAAAGAAACTTATGGGAGCAAGTGGTGTGTCGATAGGACGCACGGTTAGAAATGTAGACCAAAAAATGTGATAAAAAAGCAAAATGGGGTCATTTGGGGCCAACTTAAACAAAAAAACCCCAAGCATCCCACAGATCATCGTAGTCACCTCCGCCTAGATTAAAGAAACTTGTGAGAGCAAGCGATGTGTCGATAGGACGCACGGTTATAAATGTATACCAAAAAATGTGAGGAAAAAGGCGAAAACGGGCCATTTGGGGGACACATAAACAAAAAAAACCCCAAACATCCTGGAGATCATCACGGTCACCTCCCACTAGATTAAAGAAACTTGTGGGACCAAGTGGTGTGTCGATAGGACTAGGGTTGTGGATATATATTTGATATTAATGTATGCATGCATGCTTAGGTTGTTAAGAGATGATCAACAAAATACTTTACATGCTGGATCAGAGTCATGTGCATCTTTGATATCCCAATATTTTTGATTTGGGGTTTCCTTTTTCAGCTGAGAAAATGGAGTTCACAGTACTTCAACGTTGGTCTTTATGTTTCTTATGGCACAGTCACTGTATTTATTGATCATTTTAGTACAGCTGAATAGTAGATCAAAGGCAAACTTTGCATAACGGCCCAAATGAAAGATCTTAGGTGTTATCTGTTGATCAATGGAAATTATTCAGATTGTATTTGCGTTCAACCAGCAAGGATATATCCCAATTAGATTGAGACACCCTTCACAAATCCCATTGTAACAGCTCCAGTAGCACAAAGCAACAATTACAATTTATAACAGCACATGAGGTAAAAACACATTAACCACAAGACCCATCAACAACTTAGCATCAAACTCTTCACAACCCTTGACTCCCAAAAACACTTTGCCTTACCTCAATGCAAAATAAGTAGCATCAAAAATATGAGTAGAAGGTAAGTGTTTTAATTTTTTGTCTGGTGTTAGTGGGTAATATGCTTACGATACAGAGAAGGGTTTGTTGTTTTGCTGGAGCTTGTGTTGATAAAAAGTGGTATTTTGCTGGTATTTGTCTGTGTTTCCCATGGCTAGGCATTTTTAGTCATCATGAAGGATCCCTTTTGTGTTTTTGAATTGTTCTCATACCTTGGTGTTCCTTTCATCTTCTTTCTTTTAATGTTAGAATTGATATATACATATGAATAGTCTATACCTTGGCTAGGCATTTGTTAATGTTTCCTTTAATAGGAAAGAAGATGATGTTAATGGTGTTTAACTATTGTAAAGTTGAACAATAGTTAGAATTGATATATACATATGAATGATGTTTTATTTACAAAATGGCATGGATAGCCATTTAATTTGTTAATGTTTTCTTTACTTTCCACTAAATTTTTTTTCATTTTTTGTCCAACTTTACAATAAAGTGATGTGCAAATGTTTTCAACAAAAAGTTGCCTGACATTATTTCTCATTTTCTTTGGAACAGATGGATGATCTCGTGCACGAAGCTAAATTGTATATGACTAATTGGCACTATAAGCATTTTTGGAAGGAATATATATATTTGAATAGATGTATGTATGGAAAAGATTTAGGTGGACTAGTAGTTATATTTTTGGATAGACTAGTAGTTATATTTTTGGATGGATGTGTATGGAAAATATTTGGGTAGATTACTAGTGTTTATATTTTTTGATAGATGCGCATGGATAACAATTTAAAACATAATAACAAATAAATGGTACGTTTTAAACTGTTATGTTAGATGGATGTGACTTGGATGATTATATAGATTACAAGTGGATTTTTAATTGGAGGAATATGTAGTTTGAAATTACTTGTGGATGAAAACTTATAATAGTTGATGACTTTCATTAAACAGGTTCAAGATTGGATGATTTATGTATTTTGTATGGTTGATGGATGTGACTTAGATGATTATGTAGATTACAAATGGATTTTTAATTGGAAGAATATGTAGTTTGAAATTACTTGTGGATGAAAACTTATAATAGTTGATGACTTTCATTAAACAGGTTCAAGATTGGATGATTTATGTATTTTGTTGAATGTTTATGATTCAGTTGATTTGAATGATCCTTGCAAATTACATATTATATTGAATGGATTGGATGAATTATTATGAATTACAGGTTTATTTTGTTTGATGTTGGCGACCAAATTTTGAATTTGTTTGTTTGGTTTTGGCAACCAATTGATTAGTCGGGAAAGATAACTAATACTTTTGCCAACTAAATAAGGTAGACAAGAGGGTACATTTGGCGACTAAATAATTAGTCGTTAAAATCATTAATTTTGGCGGCAAAAGGATTTCGTTGCTAATAGGTCAATTGCTGACTAAAGTTTTAGTTGCGCAAACATTCTTTTTCGCGACTAACATGTTTGGTGGTGGAGGAATGTGACAATTGGCGACCAAACTTTTTAATCGCGGAATGTGACAATTGGCAACCAAAATTTTTGGTCGCCAAAACGGGCCACAATTGCCAACCAAACTTTTTGGTCGTGGAATGTGTCATTTGCCGACCAAATTGTTGGCCGCGGAATGTATTGCCGACCAAACTTTTTGGTCGTGGAATGTGACAATTGGTGACCACATTTTTTGGTCGCCAAAATGGGCCACAATTGCCGACCAAAGTTTTTGGTTGTGGAAAATGAATTACAATTGCCGACCAAACTTTTTGGTCGCTGAATCTTTTTGGTCGTGGAATGTGTCATTTGCCAACCAAATTGTTGGTCGCGGAATGTATTGCCGACCAAACTTTTTGGTCGTGGAATGTGACAATTGGTAACCACATTTTTTGGTCGCCAAAATGGGCCACAATTGCCGACCAAAGTTTTTGGTTGTGGAAAATGAATTACAATTGCCGACCAAACTTTTTGGTCGCTGAATGTGCGAATTGGCGACTAACATGTTTGGTCGGGAAAATATAATTTTTCGCGACTAAAGTGTTTTAACTACTAAATGGATTAGTCGCAGTAATTATATATTTAGCGACCAAAAATTTAGTTGGCAACTAAAACTTTTTCACGACTAAAGTGTTTTAGCTACTAAATGGATTAGTCGCAGTAATTATATATTTAGTGACCAAAAATTTAGTCAGCAAATATAACTTTTTCGCTACTAAAAATTTTTTAGTCGCTAATTACTTTCCGTGACCCTCAATTGGCGACCAAAGTGGCGACTAAAAAAATTAGTCGCCGATAACTTTTGCCGACTAAAAATGGTCTTTTGTCGACCAAATTTTTAGTCGGCAAAAGTGCGAATTCTTGTAGTGAGATTAAGGTGACAAAAATTCGTCACTAAAATGAACAGAAAAAAAAAATTCTACAATGACAAAATATTTTGTCATCAAATATTTCAATTTAGCAACGAAATATTGAGCAAATGTGACGAAATTATTTGTTTGGTACTATATCATTAGTGAGAAAATTATTCGTCATGTTTTTCGAAAACTAATAGTGACATTTTTTTTATTTCAGCGCTAATAATAACTAATTTTTTTTAAAATGGGGGTACTATTTTCAAATTAAAATTTTTATTTTCACTAAAAATTCCCTGCGCATTTCATAACCTGTTCAATAAAATATCTATTACAGATCAATACAAAAATCTATTCCTTTTCATAAACATCACAATCAAATTTCAACACTATTCACAAAAATACAATATCAATTGCATGCGGATTACCAAACATATCTCCTAATATCCACAAAAATACAATATCAACCGTATGCGGATTACCAAACACATCTCCTAATATCCACAAAAAACATGTCTACTAATATCAACAAAAATATAATATCAAGTGTGGATTACCAAACATGTCCTGCAATACCAACAAAAATATAAAATTTACAACGCAACCAAAATACATGTAAGGTAATATGAACAAAAACACAAAATGAGGTAGTTTCTGCTCTCCAAATCACCAAACATGTCCATATCAAATCTTGAATCTGCAAAAAAAAAAAAGAAAAAAAAAAGAAAAAAAGAATGCAAGTTAGACAATTATTATCTTATCAATTAAATATACAATTTAACATGCATTTTTCGACTTAGTTTTCAAATTGGGAGTCCCGTGCTAGTTCCGTAAGTTTTCACAACTTACATTGATCCCTCCCGAGGTGTTTAAGGTGTTCCCGGGCATTCCCGTGCCTGTTACACGATTTTGGCCCCCGATGACCTATTTACAAGCTTAAGTGTTGGGAAAATTCATTTTTGAACTTAGTTTTCAAACTGGGAGTCCCGTGCTAGTTCCGTAAGTTTACCCAAGTTACAATGGTTGCTTCTGAGGTGATTGAGGTGTTCATCGGGCCTTCTCGTGGTTGTTTAATGATCTTGGGCCCCGATGGCCTATTTACAAGCTTAAGCGTTGGAAAAATTCATTTTGGACTTAGTTTTCAAACCGGGAGTCCCGTGCTAGTTCCGTAAATTTACACAAGTTACAATGGTTGCTTTCGAGGTGATTGAGGTGTTCCCCGGGCCTTCTCGTGCTTGTTTAACGATTTTGGCCCCCGATGGCCTATTTACAAGTTTAAGTGTTGGGAAAATTCAATTTTGGACTTAGTTTTCAAACCGAGAGTCCCGTGCTAGTTCCGTAAGTTTAAACAAGTTAGAATGGTTTCTTCCGAGGTGATTGAGGTGTTCCCCAGGCCTTCTCGTGGTTATTTAACGATTTTGACCCCATGATGGCCTATTTTCAAGCTTAAGAGTTGGAAAATGTGCATTTTTTGACTTAGTTGTCACATCGGGAGTCCCGTGCTAGTTCCGTAAGTTTCCACAAGTTACATTGGTCCCTCCCGAGGTGTTTGAGGTGTTCCTCAGGCCATCTGGTGGCTGTTATACGATTTTGGACACCGATGGCCTATTTTCAAGTTGAAGTGTGAAAAAATGCATTTTTGGACTTAGTTTTCAAACTGGAAGTCCCGTGCTAGTTCCGTAAGTTTCCACAACTTACATTGGTCCCTCCCGAGGTGTTTGAGGTGTTTCTCGGGCCATCTCGTGGCTATTACACGATTTTGGCCTCCGATGGCCTATTTTCAAGCTTACGTGTGAAAAAGTGCACTTTTGAACTTAGTTTTCAAACCGGGAGTCCCGCGCTAGTTTTGTAAGTTTCCACAACTTAAATTGGTCCCTCCCGAGGTGTTTGAGGTGTTTCCCTGGCCGTCTCGTGACTGTTACACAATTTTGGCCTTCGATGGCCTATTTTCAAGCTTAAGTATGAAAAAGTGCATTTTTGGACTTAGTTTTCAAACCGGGAGTCCCGTGCTAGTTCCGTAAGTTTTCACAACTTACATTGGTCCCTCCCGAGGTGTTTGAGGTGTTTCCCAGGCCCTCTCATGGCTGTTACACAATTTTCCCTCCGATGGCCTATTTTCAAGCATACGTGTGGAAAAGTGCATTTTTGGACTTAGTTTTCAAACTGGGAGTCCCGTGCTAGTTCCGTAAGTTTTCACAACTTACATTGGTTTCTCCCGAGGTGTTTGAGGTGTTCTACGGGCCGTCTCGTGGGTGTCACACGATTTTGGCCTCCGATGGCCTATTTTCAAGTTTACGTGTGAAAAAGTACACTTTTGGACTTAGTTTTCAAACTGGGAGTCCCATGCTAGTGCCGTAAATTTTTACAACTTACATTGGTCTCTCCCGAGGTGTTTGAGGTGTTCCCCAGGCTGGCTTGTGGCTGTTCCATGATTTTGGCCTCCAATGGCCCATTTTCAAGCATACATGTGGAAAAGTGCATTTTTGGAATTAGTTTTCAAATCGGGAGTCCCGTGCTAGTTTCTTAAGTTTCCACAACTTACATTGGTCCCTCCCGAGGTGTTTGAGGTGTTTCCTAGGCTGTCTTGTGGCTGTTACACGATTTTGACCTCCGATGGCCTATTTTCAAGCTTAAGTGTGAAAAAGTGCATTTTTGGACTTAGTTTTCAAACCGGGAGTCCCGTGCTAGTTCCGTAAGTTTCCATAACTTACATTAGTCCCTCCCGAGGTGTTCAAGGTGTTCCCTAGGCTGTCTTGCGGCTTTTGCACGATTTTGGCCTTCGATGGCATATTTTCAAGCTTTAGTGTAAAAAAAGTGCATTTTTGGACTTAGTTTTTGAACCGGGAATCCTGTGCTAGTTCTGTAAGTTTCCATAACTTACATTGGTCCCTCTCGAGGTGTTTGAGGTGTTTCCCAGGCCGTCTCGTGGGTGTTACACAATTTTGGCCTCTGATGGCCTATTTTCAAGCTTAAATATGAAAAAGTGCATTTTTGGATTTAGTTTTCAAACCGGGAGTACCGTGCTACTTCCGTAAGTTTCCACAACTTACATTGGTCCCTCCCGAGGTGTTTGAGGTGTTCTCCGAGCCTTCTCATGGTTGTTTCACGATTTTGGCCCCCGATGACCTATTTTCAAGCTTAAGTGTTGGAAAAAGTGCAATTTTTTGCTTAGTTTTCAAACCGGGAGTCCCGTGCTAGATCCGTAAGTTTTCACAACTTGTATTGGTCCCTCTCGAGGTGTTTGAGATGTTCCCGGGCCTTCTCATGGCTGTTACACGATTTTGGCCCTCGATGGCCTATTTTCAAGCTTAAGTGCTGGAAAAGTACATTTTTTAATTTAGTTTTCAAACTGGGAGTCCTATGCTAGTTCCGTAAGTTTTCACAACTTACATTGGTCCTTCCGGAGGTGTTTGAGGTGTTCTTTGGGCCTTCTCATGGCTTTTACACGATTTTGGCCCCCGATGACCTATTTTCTTTCTCCGACCCCCTAGGGGTAAGAACTAAAGTTCAGGATGGAGAACTAAAACCCTAATCTAGCAGAACAAGGGGTACTAAAGTTCAAGATGGAGAACTAAAGTTCACCTTTTGGTAAGCAATAATTTAAATTGTACAACTACATAGAATATAAATCAGAAGAACGAGGTAGAAGTTACATGAATACTCAACTTAATCTTCAATGTCAGTAACAATTGAAAGGCAAGTTTGCAATATAGTGCACTTTATTTATTTATTTTTTATAACAAGGCACCCCTCACCCCACCTTTGGTGAGCCCTGGAGTAAAACCCCAGATATGTGTGGTGTGGCCACCTGCTAGTCTCACATATCAGGCAAAGTAGAGACTCAAATCTAGCCCCTCATTCTTGTTTACCTAAGGATTTACTATTTAAGCTAGCCCTAACGGGTCGCAATATAGTGCATGTTGCTTGATTTTAGTACATTTTTTTTGATTCCCTTGCAATTTGCAATAGTACCACTATTGAATGAAAGCCACATAAATGGAAAAATATAATCAAGATAGATGCCAAGAGAAACTTTAATTGTACAGAGACTTTAAATTGAAACAGGCATAAATATGGAAGACCAACGAACAGTTCAAATAAGACCAAAATGGAAAATTTTACGGTCCGCATTCATGTATATTTGTTACACATAGTAGGTCTTAGAATTGTTACTAGAGAGGAGGCAATGCAAGCTAGAGAAAGAAGGAAGAGAGTGTTGATCTAACAAAAGGAGGACTTTAACACCACAATGGGAATTCCCTCAACACAGAAAAGTACCAATGTCTACTAATGAATAAACCCCTTCCCATGGATCTTATAATCCAAAAGGAATACATATAAGTTGGCACCAATATCTAGCTTGGAGAAATAATTCAATCACAAAACTACCAGTCATGGCCATTGAGTGCATCAGAAAATTCTAAAATTTAAATCAAAGTTAAAGACTTCAATCATAAAACTACCAGTAATGCCGGTGAGTGCTTGAGTAAATTGCAAACTTCAAATCAAAGTTTGGCTCTCTCTCTCTCTCTCTCTCTATGAGATTAGAGTTTCTGGAAAACAACTTCCACATGTTATACTACCAATGACCTAACTCCAAGGCTTTGTTTATCAACTAATAGAATAATGCACAGATAACTCGATGATGAAAACAGATACTGTACATAAATGACATATGCAAATTATACAGAATGGAAATATATTTTTCATGTGGAGATGGAAAATGTACTTCAGAAGTCCATATTTCACATACCTTCCAATAATGTACAAAAATCAATGCCAATTTACAACATCTCCACTATGCAAATTCTGACTGTCATAATATGTTGAACTATCATCTGTCTCTGTACATGAATTAGGAGTTGAGAAAATTACCAACATTATAAAGTATCATTATTACAAGAAAGTCCTTTAAAAACTTGATATATCATATTTGGTTAGTCCTATAGTAATCCTACTCATGAGACTACAATCATATGTAGGAGATCTTCAACAAGAAGAATAATTGAAATCAGGAGACAGGATCTCCCCAGTGAACCATGATTTCCATTGAATCTGGATCTATTAGGCAACCAAAAATTCCATATTTAATAGAACTATGGGATGTGGATGTCAAGCTCACGTTATGTTTCTTCTTAGAAGCACCACTTTGGAAAACTCTCAATCCACTGCAGTGCCTAAAAATTCTACATAAAATGATCTCCCCATCAATTTTTCACATATCTTACAACTCTGAATTCATGGCACACCCAATGGCATCTCTAGGAATTTTGTCCAAAGGGGTCAATTTAGTTTTATTTACCCATAAGTTGAATTACATCAGACCAAATGAAATTATTCATTAAAAAACGTTTAGTTTCAACCCAGTTCAATTTTGCTCAATTTAAAAAAAAAATTAAATCGTAATTTGTATTTTTTTTTTGTTTGTCTACTAGGATGACTCTAAGATTCTATTTTTATGTAAGTTTTCGTTCAGATCAATGGGATCACATGAAAAACCCACTCAAAGCTCACAAATACTTTACAAATAAAGTTAGTTTTAGTTTTCTTTTTTCCAATTTGATGGGGTTAGCTGACTTCATACTCATACACCTAGTGCTACCCCTTGGCACATCTTATGATCCACAAGGATACAAGGCTATGTACATGTTGGCATTAACTTTCACTTCGAAGAAAGACTCATACATAAAACTACCAGTCATGAACAGGTGAGTGAGTTAATTATATACATAAATTGAACTATTCAGGTTCAGTTCCCCTCACCCCTACTTTCTCCCCTTGTTTTGCTAGATTAGGCTTTTACACGCATTATGCATTCTTGCTAAAGTTCAAGGCATCAATTATAAAGGACATGCGATTATGATAGGAAAAGGGTTTTTACAAGATTCAAGATGGAGAAGAATGGTTAAGCTTCTGTCTCTTTATACCAACAATATTAATTGTAGCAGTCCAATCCAATCTTTGAGAAAACTAATATACCATAAAGAAAAGGAAAAGCAAAAAAAATGGAGGTGCTCATCTACATGGCTGTTACAGTTCAAAAAACAGAAATAAAGTTGCAATATTTTCATATAATTAAAGGATACTCTCGAGCTTGTCTGACAAAATCTGGATTCTTGTAGCGGCTAAAGCGCTTGACATACTGCAGCGTAGCATGATATGTCACATGAGCATGTTCATTAGTAAGGTAAAACCCCATTGATTATTCAGGAAAGAGGTGAATATTATTCAATTAGGCAAGAAAAACCCAATTTGCAGTATTTCTAATAATTTATAAAACCTCCATTTAATTATGTTAAATATAATAATCTAATAATTCCTTAATCCTCCATTGAACTATGCTAAATCTAGAAATCTAGCCCTCCAACAGTAGTAGTGCTCTAGCAACGAAACCTACACAAGGATAATAAAAATCAAAGAAAAAGATAAAGAAACATTACTACTTTAAGCTTAAACCTGTTGACTAGGCACAAATATTCACTGTTTGGAATGTCAAATTGATGGTTGGTTTGGATTCTATGACGTGAAAACTAAAGACACATTGGTTGTAGTTTAAAAAATATAAATCATTCCAGGTAAAATTCTGCGTACTTGGATCAATCAACACCTATTCCTCTTAAAAATTCTATGACCACATTTGATTACAAAAAATGAAACATGCAAATTGACTTCAATCAACATCTATTCCTCTTAAAAACTGAGCATAACTATGAAGAAATGAAAACACATACAAACTAACAAAATTTGATAATAGACTAAAGTTGAGGCTGTTGAGCAAAGCTAGACAGAGTACAAAAAATCAACACCTATTCACTATTTGTTCATTGAGCTTCTATTTCTGTCTTTGTTTCTAGTTAATTTATACAATAAAACTTGGATTTCAAACACCATAGAATAGAATTAATCCAAAACCTGCCTTGAGATTTCAAATTCTATTTTGCTTCTAATTTTATCATTTAGCAATCAAATAGTTGTCATTCATCTCGTTAGGCATGAGAAAATGAAATAGCTGACATTTTCAATGCTTGAAAATCTTGGAGAACATAAAGCCATAATTTACTAACAACATGCAAGAAAGTAATGGTTAGGCTTAACAGATATCCACAACCTCAACTTGCAAAACAAAATACTCGGTGGTCCTTCCACGTTGGCCTATTCTTGTTGAAACACCCATGCATAATATTATTGAAAATTCAAATAAACTCAACAAAAATTCTATAAAATTAGAATGTCCCTTTCAGTTATGACAAATATATAGCACTAAATCAATTATGAGCTAATCTTACAGCTGTAAATTATTCAAAAAGATTTGAAAACACCAATTGAGTACTTACGGCTGTTTATGGAGCAGATCAAAATCACTGTTGAATGAACTAATCTTTGGCTCCTCATTGCACCAAAACTCCAGATCAACACCACCTACCAATTATAGTTAGGCATGTATGTCTCCAACAAATCAATAAATGAATTTGGAAACTTAGGCCACAATTATAAATAAGACATACCAAAAGTTTGATTAAGACCAGCAAGTATAAAATAATACAATTAATTATAATTGTTTGTTCCATCACAAACAAGATTTGCAAATACCCCACACCATAAAAACAACTTCAAATCTAGCATGAGCCGCACGACACAAATAACCAATAGGACACTATAATATTTAAACTTAGTGATAATTATTTAAACAGCTTCAGGTCATGCTCTAAAAAATTAATATCGATTTCTTGATAATTATTTGTTTTGAATTTCAGAGGCAAGATCTTGGTCATGAACCAAAAGTGTTAATAGTCTACATTGACCCATAATTAAAATAAGCAAAAAAGATACTACCAAAAAAAAAAAAAACTGATCAATCTTGATGTCATTAGCATGACCCTTGAATTAATCGTGTGCCTATTTGATTAGAAGTAAGGTGTCTAACTCAATATGGTGTGAAACTAGTGTTTTATCCACAATGAAAATATGAGAAAAGGGAAAGATTTTTTTTTGTTCACAAGTCTCATAAAATCTATTACTCGCCTAATTTAATGATCTAAAGTGCTTATTTCATTTGTAGTTCAGTCATAAAAAAATCAAATTGATAATGATATTTTGACATCCAAATTCTAGTTTGAATTTGCAAAATCATTTCAAATTGAGGCAAATCTGATGGATTTGAACCTTATGTGAATCAATTTGAAGCCCTAGCAACCTGAATTGAACTAAAATTCCCTTCAATTCAGTTCCAAACTACAGCAAATTCATGTGTGAAAGGTGTGAACATGTTTCCTGAATTAGTTTTAAAGCTAAGTCGAATTGTTAACAACATTTTCAGAGAGAGAGAGAGAGAGCATACGGGCAGTAGGACTTGGAAAAGATGACGATGGAGTGGGACGCTGCTGCCACTGCCCCTACTCACCGTCGCTATTCACAGTTGCTCTACGCCACCTCGCTGCTTTACGCCGCTGAGTGAGTGAGAGAGAGGCGATTGAGACTGAGTGAGTGTGCGAGAGAGAAAGAGAAAGACGCCACTGAGAGAGATGAGCGACTGAGAGAGATGCGTGACTGAGAGAGATGCTACCGTTGCACGCCATCGTCTCTGCTGCCCTACGCTGTTGAGAGAGAGAGAGATGAGCGCGACTGAGACAGAGAGACAGCTGAGCGACTGTGAGCAAGAGGAGATGACGAAAAATGGGGGGAAATTTTGGGAATAATTTGTTTGTTAGTTTTTTTTTTTTTTTGGGCAAATGGGCGAGTTAGAGGTTTTGTATTAAAAATTTATTTCAATTTTTGAAAATTATTTTTTGAGTTTTTAATTAGTATTTTTTTTTTATTTTTAGTGAAATTTTTGAATATTTTAATCAATTAAAAAATGATTAAAATATTAAAAAAGTTTGTTAAAATTTTAAAAAAAATAAAAATTGAAGCTTGAAAAATAGTTTTCGAAAACTGAAACCAAACAAAATTGATTTAAACTCACCTATTTAATAAAGGGGTTTAAATGAGTTCGGTGGAGGTGGAGTGCTAGTGGTGGTGGTGGTGGTAGTGGAGTGGCGGCGGTGGAAGTGGAGTGGCGGCAATGGTAGTGGTAAAGTAAGGCAGTGGAGGTGGAAGAAAAATGGTAGCGGCGGTGGTGGTAATGGTAGTGGTAGGGCAGTGGTAATGGTAGTGGTGGTGATGCAGTGGCGAGGGCAGCGATGGTGGAGTAGCGTTTAGACACCCCATTTTTTGACCGACCTCAAGACTTAGATGTCATCATTTGTACACTCGATGATTGTGCATGTTTGTACTCGTTTTGAGTCCCCGAAACTCACGGCGGAACGCCTTATCTTTGAGCCTCTAAACTCTCTGTGTTTTGGCCTTGTTTTTGGGCCAGACCTTGGTGCCCCTTGCCTGGAGGGAGGAAAGGCCTTGCCGGCCACTTTTGGCCCTTGTCGGCCACCTAGAGTGGCCTACGGCCATTTTTCTCATTTTTCAGATATTTTGTGTGCCAGCTGTTGATCACTGAAGTCATTCTCCATACACGTGTATGGAGGGATGGAAACAAGCCTTAGGCCTGTATTTCTATATAAGGGGAGGTCTTTCGTCCATTTTAAGGGTTACAAAATTTGTGAGCAAATTTTCCTCTCTCTCTCTCTAGAATCCTCTCTCTTTCTATTTTGTGCTTGAAAGTGGGAAATCTCTACATATTTGCATACAACCCCTTAACCAAATTAGACCACCTTGTAGCTGAGGTTCTTGGAAGTCTTATTTGAGCTCACAAAGCTAGTTTTGGCTCAGAAAGTGGATGTTTGTTGCCGTCCTTCAAAGGTTTAAAGCTTACCCCTTTCAAGCTTATTTTTGTACACTAGTTTGGCCACCTTTTCATGTTGTTTTTGGCCTAGTTTTCAACTACCAAAACCTTTGCTTTTAAGGCTTAAAAATGGTGGTTTAAGGCATTTTTGGAGTTAGGGGTGGTCCACCATCCTTTGTAGCTTGTTTGCTTAGTGTTGTACCATTTTTTAAAGCTTTTAAAACAATCTTTTTCTGGTCTTTTAACCACTGAATTCCAGGGGAATATCAATGCCAAAAAGTTGGTTTTGAGGTCCAAAATAAGAGTGGGTGGCCTCCCCTCCTTGTATCTTGTTTGCATGTGTAGATGGCCTAGGATATGAGCATGCTTTTCTACCTTTTTGTAGCTTACTTAAAGCATGATTTTGGCTTTATTTTGACCTTCTTTAACTCTGTTTTTGGCTGGTTGGGTCACTTGTTGCTTGCTTTTTATACTTGTAGTGCAATCATGCTTACTAGCCTAGCATATTTGATGATTTAGCCTATTGTTCTAGCTTGTGTTAGCTTAACTCCAGCACATTTTTGTTGCTGATTTAGCATGCTTTAACTCTGTTCTGAGCGGTCTTGGTCCTTTGAGGCTTGCCTTGCATGGCTATAGTGTAGTTGGCTTCACTAGCTTCGAGTTTGAAGGCCTCCAACATGTTTTGCATGAGATGATTGCATGATATAGCATCCTTTAACGTGTGATTTCAGTGCATATACTTCTGTCATTCTCTCACATATTTCACTTCTTCATTGCTTCTGAGGGTTGTGTATTGTGCCTTATTTATGGGCTAACATGTGTGCATGTTCTCCTAGTCTTTTGAGCTTCTATCTCAGCAAGTTCAGACCATTGTTTTGGCATGTTTAAGTTCTGTCCAGAGCTGGTTTGGTTATTTGAGCTTGATAATGCATGCCTCTAGTGTAATGCTCTTCATTAGTTTTTATGCTTTTGGCCCTTAACATATTGTGCATGCGTTGCTTGCATGTTTAGCATTATTTCTCATGCCATTTCAGCACTGAAATTCTGCAACCTCCCTCATTTTTTCACTTTTAATTTGCTTTGAGAGTTGATTAGCCTTAGGGTTGTGTTTAAGCTTGAGATAGAGCTTGTGCTCAATGGCATGATCTCTCTCATGTCTTAAATCCTACTTTGATTGACCCCTCTCTCATTAAAGGACTTTCGCATTGGACTAAATCGGTTAAAGGATTAATCGGTAATGTAAAATGTGTAAACAAAATGAGCAAAGTAAAACACGAACAAGATAAGCATTTGTGTTGCATTGCATGTGTTTGGATCGGACGTTAATGAGGAATGAGGGACGTTTCATACTTAAAGTGATGAAACGTGTCACATTTCTTGGTCGCCGTCACCCTTGATCAAGCATGATAGGGTGGTGACCATTTGAGTCTTATGTGCGCATTCATTAGCTTGTGCAAGCTTGATCCTTTGGCCATCATGCATTGAGATGCTTGATTGGTGGCTTGAGAGCCAAGTGCCATATTCCTTTGAGCTTGAGAAATGATGAGAAGAGTGGCAGTACATACATTTCTTGCAAAATGCCTTGCTTTGCCTCCGTTGTTCTCTGTTGCAGCAAAAACAGCATTTTGGAAAAGCAGGTGGCCGACCGGCCAGTTAGGGTGGCCGACAGCCACCTTCTGTGGCCGACAGGCCACCAGTTCATTTCTATGCAAGAGGGTTCCTGTTTTGAAGCAAGAGCAGTCTGGAAGTTGGTGCAATATTCAGTGGTCACAACAAGTGCAAACAAAGGCAACCGATGGCAAGGCGATGAATTTTTGGGCGGAGCAATCGAGCATGCATGCATCCCTCGCCCCAAGGCCATTTAATTGCTTTCAATTGCTTAGAATTGTAGTTAATTAATGCAAGTGTTGCAATTAATTAGTTTAATCTGTTTTGTAATATTTTAATTAGCTTAGCATAGTTAGTTTTTTCAATTTTGTTGTAATAATTAGCTTAGCTTGCATGTTTGCATCATTCATTTGTATTGCATACACCGGGCTTGGCGCATCATTCAAACTGCATTGTATTTCAATACCTATTTGAATATGTGTTTCAAAGCATGTTATCAAATTGTTGCATTCATATGCCATCATAGATAGCCGAGCCTATTTAGTTGCATTATTGCATATGTTGCATTAGGAATTTTGTATAGTTAGGAGTCATGCATTTTTCTAACTAATTTTCTATTTTGGTTTAGAGTACACTGTAAGTTTTACGCTTTAGCATACTTGCATGAGTGTAAGTGTTGCCATGTTTAGCATGCTTTCCATGAGGCTATGTGCTTATTTGATTAATTGCATGAATGCCTATGGATGAAGGATTTATTACTTGAATTGGAACAATTCATCAAATGTGAGTTTTAAGCCCACTTTGCGAAGTGGCAAAATCATGTTTCAAGCCCATCATGTTTGATGGCAAATCCGCTCTTTAGCCCACTTGAGGGTGGCACTTTCAAACCATTTTCGAAAAATAAACATGAGTTGTTTTGTTCCAATTCTTGCGATTTTAGTCTATACTTGTATACTATGCGCATCACATAGTAAAGTTAGCCAATAATCGAATAAGAACACATGAGGTTTATAAAACAACATATCATGCTTAGTAGAGGCCAATCCTTTGATCGGCCAAGCGGGAGTGCTCATTTTAGGACCTTCCCCTCTCGTACCCAAGTTCTCGAGTTGAGGCAACTTTGGTGATGACGGACTGTAGACGTGCCCGGAGAACTCCCCGAGGAAATCTCGTTTTGTTCTCTGAGCTACTACAGTTTGGACTTAAGAGTCACGGTTCTGAATCTAATCTCGCAAAGTGCAATGCAAGACCGATAAATCACCAAAGAGTCCAAATCCGGCAAATCATTTTGGAAAACTGATTTTTATAAAGAAGTGCCAAATATGGACTGCTTTGCTAGATACAAAGTCGCCACCTAAATATTTTATTTTGGGGGAATTTAGGAAACCCTGACTCGTGCCTAAGGCCACGTGTCTGTCATCACCAAAGTTGCCTCGGCTCGGGAACTTGGGTACGATTGGGGAAGGTCATCTATGAGCATCCCCTCTCGCCCGATCAAAGATCGGCCTGTACTAAACATGATATCTTGTTTTTGAAAACACATGTGCTCTTTTTCCGATTAATTAGTTAATCTTACTATGTGATGCGCACAGCAAGCAAGTATAGACTAGATCGCCTAATTCGGAACAAAACATTGCATATTCATTTGAAAATGGTTTGAAGTTTGCTACTCGCAAGTAGGCTAAAATGCGGATTTTGATGAATTGTTCCAATTCAGGTAATCCAACCTTCACCCACAGGCATTCAGGCAGTTTTATTAAATAAGCAGTTAGCCTCATGGAAAGCATGTTTTCATGGCAGCATTAACAAATATGCAGCATGCTAAAGCATAAACACTCACAGTGTACTCCGAGCCAAAACAGAGAACTAGTTAGAAATCATGCATGATCCTAGTTCATGTTAAAATGGCTAATGCAACACATGCAAAAATACAGCTAAAATAGGCTCGGCTATTCTAAGATGGCATGTGAAATGCAACTTGATAACATGCTGTTAAACACGTATTCAAGTAAGTGTATTGAAAATACAAATGCAGATAGTATGATGCACCGAGCCCGGTGCATGCAAGACAGATGAATGATGCACGCATGCGAAGCATAAGGTATGCTAAACAAAATATGCCCTAGAACTAACCATCGTAAGCAGTTAAGTAAAAGGGAGAAAGAAATGGAGGTTGGAAGACATGCATCACACACACGCACGCTTATTACAACAGTTGGCCCTCTCGAGGGAGAGTTCGAATAAGAAGCTAACTAGCTAATCTAAGCTAATTAAACTAATTATTAAAACACAAATTAATTAACTAATCATAGTTAACTAATTATTACAAAACA